AAAGCTGGCGCCGAAGGTCGAAGCTCTGAAGATCGGTCCCTACACTCTTTAAAGCTGGCGCCGAAGGTCGAAGCTCTGAAGATCGGTCCCTACACGGCAGGTGACGATGTGGATTTCGGTCCGCTGGTGACCAAGGAGGCACTCGGACGTGTCCGCGGGCTTGTCGATCAGGGCGTCAAGGAAGGCGCAAACCTCATCGTGGACGGGCGCGATTTCTCCATGCAGGGCTATGAGAACGGGTTCTTCATGGGTGGCTGCCTGTTCGACAACGTGACCAAGGACATGGATATTTACAAGACCGAGATCTTCGGCCCGGTTCTGTCCGTTGTCCGCGCGGAAAGCTACGAAGAGGCACTCGATCTGCCGCTCAGCCACGAATATGGCAACGGCACTGCGATCTTCACCCGCGACGGTGACACGGCACGCGATTTCGCGTCCCGCATCAATATCGGCATGGTCGGCATCAATGTTCCGATCCCGGTGCCGCTCGCCTATCACACATTCGGTGGCTGGAAGAAATCCGGTTTCGGTGATCTGAACCAGCATGGTCCGGACGGCTTCAAGTTCTACACCCGCACCAAGACCGTGACCTCGCGGTGGCCGTCGGGCCTGAAAGACGGGGCGGAATTCGTTATTCCGACCATGAAGTAACACGCATCAGAAAGATGCAAAGAAAACGGCGCCGGTGGCGCCGTTTTTATGCTGCTGCAGCCGGTGCTTCGACAGTACGGTCGGGTGCATAGTGTGACATGGTCACAACGGCATCGATTTCAGCGAGGAGAGCAGCGAACGTCTGGTCGCTCATGATCTTCTCGGAAGCAGCCTTTGCGCACGCCAGGTCCTGCCAGAAAACGACATCGGCGAACATGCCGTCGTCTTCAACGGCTTCATAGGCCGTCCAGGAGACAAAACCTTCGAATTGCCTTGCAATGTCCTGTGCCGCCCGCCGCGCCAATCGGGCTTTCTCCTTGTTCTTGACCTTGAAAACGACGAGTTCCAAGCAGGGATGTGTCATGACTTGCTCCATGAATTCTGTGATTTCAACCGTAACGACCATCGCACAGGCCTCCTGACAGCATCCCGTCAGCACATCTCGCTGGACCGTGCGCCAAAAAGTCCCGAGAGTTTCATTTGCTCCATTCTGGCGAAACGGGAATGGTCGTTGTAAGACGACATGCAAGGAGACAATGTTTGCTGGCTCGTTTGATTTTCTTAAAGAGGGCGCTCGTTTGTAAGACAACTTTGAATGGTTTTGATGGACATCAGGGGCGTTGGGACGGGGTTTGGGAAAAGACGCGAAAAAAGGTCGTGAGACCGGAGAGCCGGACAACAGCGAAAGGAAAGCGCTGACCCGGGCAGGCTCCGTTCTGGCGCTTGCTGATCTGTTGTGGTTGCCGCAGGCAGGATTACTGGCCTGGGCTTTGGGAGCAGTGCTGTCGCAGTCTGTCGAGACCACGGGCGCGCAGACCCGGCCCATGGTTGTTGCCGTCATGGCTGCTGTCTCGGTGATCCTGATCGCTGTTGTCCGTGTCTTCCTTCAAAAACACGCCCGGGACATCGCTCGGCGCACGGCACGGAACATCCAGGAACGCGCCAGATCCGCCTTGCTGTTCGCCGCTGTGGCGCGATCGCCTTCGGAGAGCTTTCCCTCGTCCGGGGCCTTTGCCGCGCATGTCGTCGACCAGGTTGATCTGCTGGGTCCCTACTATCGAAACTTCATGCCGCAATACATGCGGCTGAAGCTTGTCCCGATCGGTATCGTCCTGATCACGGCCTGGTTCAGCTGGCTTGCGGCCTTGATCCTGCTTGTCTGTGGCCCGGTGATACCGGTGTTCATGGCGTTGATCGGGTCCCGCGCAAAGGCAGCGAGCGAGGAACAGCAGGAGGAACTGACGCGTCTCAGCGGCTTGTTGCTTGACCGGATCAGGGGACTTGAAACGCTGACAGTATTCGGTGCGCTAGACCGCACCAGGTCAGATATCCATGACGCGGGAGAACGCTTCAGGCTGGGTACGATGAAGGTCCTGAAGGTGGCCTTTCTGTCTTCAACGGTGCTGGAACTCTTTTCCGCGCTCGGTATTGCCTTTTCTGCGGTTTATGTGGGTTTCACCCTGCTGGGCGACCTCGATATCGGCACTTGGGGAACGCCTCTCGGATATGCCGGCGGCCTGTTTGTTCTCCTGCTTGCACCGGAGTTCTTTGCTCCTCTGCGCGCCTTTTCCGCCGCCTATCACGACCGCGCAGCCGGGATCGCAGCGTCCCGAAAGTTGTCTGAACTTCTTGCTGACATGCAAACCGGCAGTCCCGCAGAAATTCGGACGAGCAACGGCACACAGGAAAGCGGGACAGGGCAGGGCTCACGAAATCTGTTCGGTCCACCTGCAATTTCATTCAGTAACCTGTCGATCACCCTTTCAGGCAGACCGGTATTCGATCGATTCACGTTTAGCATCGCATCAGCCGAAACCGTTTTGCTTGCAGGCAAAAGCGGGCGCGGAAAATCGACACTTCTCGACTGCGTTCTCGGATTCCGGACACCGGATACGGGGCAGGTGCTGCTTGACGGAACCGATGTGCACTTATTGGCAAGGGAGCTTCGGTCGAGCGTCATGTGGCTCGCACAAGCGCCAAGACTGTTCCATGGCTCCGTCAAGGCGAACCTGCTCAAGGGGCATTCAAGCCCGGACACGATCACTTCGGACGAGATCTGGGACGCGTTGCGCCTGGCAGGAGCGGAAGACCTCGTCAGGCGGTTGCCGCAGGGGCTCTCGACCCAGATCGGAGAAAACGGCTTCGGTCTGTCCGTCGGGGAGATCCGGCGCATCGCACTGGCACGCGCAGCATTGCGGACCGATGCCGGGCTGCTTCTCGCCGATGAACCGACGGCCGGTCTAGACAGGGAGACCGCCGCCGATGTCGTCAATGGCCTGCAACGCCTGGCAAAGGGCAGAACAACGCTCGTTGCCTCGCATGATGCTGCAGTTCTGGGGTTGCCCGGCCGTTTGCTTGACCTGGACAAGGTTGGCGCCCGTGAACTGGAGACGGCAAAGTGAGGGCGGTCTGGAAAGTCATAAGGCGTCAGGCCAAGTATGACCGTTTTCATTTCTGGATCGGTATCCTTGTCGCCGTGTTGCCTGCAGCTGCCGGCATCCTGCTCCTGGGTGTTTCCGGGTGGTTCATCACGGCAGCAGCGATCGCCGGTCTGAGCGGAGCGTTCCTCAACATATTCGCGCCAAGCGCAATTATCCGTGCCCTCGCGATTGTCAGGACTGCAGGTCGCTATGGCGAGCGTCTGCTTACCCACGACGCGACCTTTCGCTTCCTGAGCGATCTCCGTGACCGGCTGTTCGCGCTCCATTCTTCGACAGCACTGCAGGGTCGCCGGTCCGGTATGCTGCTGAACCGCTTGACGGCGGACATTGCGGCGCTTGATGCGATTTACCTTCGTCTCGTTGTTCCTGGCGCGGTCGCGGTGGTCATTCTGATCTGTCTTCTCGCGTTTTGGGCTTCTGTTTCGGCACCGGTGTTCCTGGTGGGTCTCGTGTTCGTTCTGGCGTGGACCCTTTTGGCATTCCGTTCGTTTGCGCGGCCCGACAACAACAGCGCGCGCCGCGCCGACGCCGCGTCCGAAGCAATGCGACTGCGTGCAGCGGATATGGCGGCGGGCCGGCGGGATCTTGCAGTTTATGGCGGGATGGACGCGGCAGCTGACGACATCGTTGATGCCGGCCACCGGCTTGAGCAGGCCGAAGACCTTCTCGAAGGGCGGGCCGAGACAACATCAGCGGTCTCAAACCTCGTCGGGCAGACCTTTCTGGCGACTATGCTGACGGTTTGCGTGCTCGGTGTTGAGGACGGTTCCATCGGCGTTGCTTTCGCGGTCGGTCTCGTGCTCGTCGTGATAGCACTGCCGGAAATCATCTCGATGATGCTTGCCGGACTTGAAAACCTGCCTCGCATGTCGTTGGCCGCCGGGCGTGCCACTAGAGCTGGAGAGGCTCCGTCGGGCAGCGGCAAGGCGCAAACAGATATCGAAGATCCGAAGCTGTGCACCGCAAGCGTTTTGCGTTTTCACGGGGTTTCCTATCGCTATGAAGGTGCCGCTAAGAACGTTTTGGACGGTTTGTCGTTTGAAATTGGTCCTGGCGAGATCGTCGCCATTGCCGGGCGCAGCGGGTGCGGCAAAAGCACCATTGCCGCGCTTGCGGCCCGGCTTATCGGGCCGCGCGACGGGTACATTCTGCTGAATGGGCGTCCGGTCGATGATTACCGGGAAGACGAACTTCGCCGCACGGTTACGGTCGTCAGCCAGCGCCCGTATCTGTTCAACGACACGCTCGCGGCGAACTTGCACCTGGCCGACCCTCGGGCAACTGACGCGGAGCTTTGGAATGCGCTGGAGCAATCCGCGCTGGCAGAACGCATTGCCGCCGGCAGAAACGGACTGTCCGCCGTTCTCGGAGAAGGCGGGCTGGGATTGTCCGGTGGGGAACAGCGCAGACTTGCGCTTGCCCGCGCATTCCTCACCCGGCCTGCTCTTTTCGTTCTGGACGAAATGACGGAAGGTCTCGACGAGGGAACCGCAGGAGATGTTCTCGGCAGGTTTCTGGAATACCGGGGGAAATCGGCCGTGTTGATGATCGCGCACAAACAGCGCGAACTGGATGCCGCCGATCGTGTTCTGCACTTGTAAAAAGTGCGCAGAAGTCGGTAAAGCTCGGTGAAAGGCGCTCTTTTTTTTCAAAGATGACGTCGCGTTTTTCTGCGATTTCTGGTTGTCCAATACGACTTGTCGCATTGACCTGACAGCTGGCCTGAGCCACCATCCGGACTCGGTAGCCTATTGCTCTTAACGGTTTTTTTGACGGGAAAAGACAAACATTTTGTCCGGCGACACGTGCGCCGTTGAGCAACATGTCAGTTGAGAGCAGCCCTGACTTGAGGTTCAGACCCCGAGGGTCTGAAAAGGGGGAATGCAATGGAACTGAATGTCGTTGATCTGTCCCGGCTGCAATTTGCCATGACAGCGCTTTATCACTTCCTGTTCGTGCCTTTGACCATCGGCTTGTCCATCCTGCTTGCGACCATGGAAACGGTCTATGTCATGACCGGCCGCGAGATCTGGAAACGGATGGTCAAGTTCTGGGGAACGCTGTTCGGGATCAATTTCGTCCTCGGCGTCGCGACCGGCCTCACGATGGAATTCCAGTTCGGCATGAACT